CTTTTAATTTTAAATCAACAAACACGTATTATAATTATAAAGTAAGATTTTGTGTAGTTTCTTTTCCAAATTACTGCGATTCCATAGAATTTCTATCCGAATCGAACGATCTAGCTTTCAATTATTCAAATAAAAAATATGAAATCAATAAGAATTACTGCTCAGTTTACTTAGATCCAACAGATGTTAGATTGAACATAAGCACATCTTCGGATGATTACGATTTTAATTATTCTTATTATCAACCAACATTTCAATACAAAGTTATAAATTACACAACAGACCATCTTTATTTCTCACCGACATTATACATTTTGTTCAGAAGTAAATCTCCGAATACAGTTGCAACAATCAAAATTTCACAAAGTTTTTCTTATGATACATACAGTGCTTATGATAAGGACAAGCTCGAATATCTTTGCAACCAATCAATTTCTTTTGGATCCCAGCCAAAATACAAAATATTCGGAATTCAAAAGTTATTAATTGGCAGAAATCAAACAAAACTTAATTTTTATAAGGAACAATACGTAGTATTTACTGATTATCGCAACATTTCCGGAGAAGCAAGAACTTCAGAAGTATCTTTAGAAATTCTTGGAAATACACAATATTCAGCAATTTATTTCGCTCACACAGGTACAATTACATTAGAATCCTCCAGTGACGAACCTATTCCATGTAATTTTGTTGTTTTTAATTTGAATTATTATGATTGCACTTCGATTATCACAAATGTAAGGTCTAATTACAAATTCACTTCTCAGGACACAGCTCATACATGTGTTGTTACTGCTTTCACAAATGGAACAGTTCATTTCGAAGATGGTGATATTTATGATGTCTATGGAAAAATAAATAGAGCTAATATTATTGTTGAAAAACCTTTTCTAACAATAACTAATTCTAAACACGATTACTTATTTTTTTATCATGCTGGCGACAAATATAATACATCATATTTAATCAAAGGAAATAATTCAACTCATAGATCTCTTATCATTTTTGATAATTCGTATCATGAAATAAATTCATCAGAACCAGTTGAACAAAAATCAGATGATCATAATTATTCTGATGATGATAGTGATGAAGGACTAAGTGAAGGTGCTGTTTTGGAAATTATTATTGGAGCAGCAGTTGGAGCAGGTCTCATTGCTGTCGCTGCTTACTTATGTTATAGACACAGAAAATTCAGAGCTGAAAATCCAATTAATCAAAGCCTTGTTGATAAAACCGAAAAAGATTTACCTTTAGAAGAAACGAACAGCAATCCATATCCTAATGAATATAAAGCACCAGCATATAATCCAAAGCAAGAACAATCAAATACTTATTTCGAGAATCCTTATGAATAACTATTTTTTTTATATATTGTTTATGAACGAATCTTTAAAGATTTATAATGTTTTTTTTATTACAATTCTTATTACTCCCATAAGATTGAGCGTGTGAAAATAAGTTTATAACAACATTATCAACATTTTAGGCATCTCAATTATTAAGAAACATAAAGTATTTAGTAATATTGAATCAAATTTTATTATATAGGATGGGAGATAATTTTAATTGATAACAATAAGACTATCATTACCATCAAGCATTGCAATTCCTCTTTTATGTCTTAAAAAAAAAGAAAAAAGAGAGGAAACACAATCAATAATTCATGAACATTTCATTGATAATAGAAGTTGTCTATTAGAAGAAGTATCTAATAAATCCGAACCATTACCTTTAGAAGAGGTTCAAATAAATCCATATTTAATCGAAACAAAAGAAATACCAAATTATTCACAAAAATCGAAATCATTATTCGATAATCCTTATGAATAATTCGTGTCAGCTTTCATATGCTTTTATTGACTTTTCTTTTTATTCTGTAATTAAAATTTAATTGACAAAATTTATGCTTTAAACTGCGAATCAAAAGGCGGACCTATCAATTTTTGAATAGTTTACATTTCTAATGCTAACGGTGCCTTCACTGAGAGCGAGAGAAAATTATTAAATATTAGAGCTCAAATAAGCTTCACGTGCAATAGGTAGCAAATCAGCTTCTATTTATGCTTAAATTTCTGGTTTGAAGCTTGTATTAAATTTCGAAATCTTAAATTTTGAAGTTAGACCCGAAAAAATCGTATCAGTTCATCCTATATTTATATCTGTTTTATGATCCTTTGTTGTTATATCGAATTAGAGCAAATAGCTTGTGCGGTCCAAAAGGTGTACCTGGCAGAAATCGACTTTTTGAGAGAAACTCATATAATTAATTGTATGACTTCTCTCAAAAAGTTGAAGGTAGGTACGCCTTTTGACTCGCAGTTTATATCCATGAACATCAAATTAATTGAAACATGTTTACTAAGATAATATTGTCTCTTCTTGGTGGTAATATAGTTTCAACATCAAACAAACTAAATATAAAATTATGTATTTTGAGATTTGGACTTTACAAGGAATTCTCAATAGCAAAATGTTGTATTTCTGAAGCATTAATTTTTACAAATCCATGGTTATTCGCACACGTATTAATTTCAATCACTCATAATCCTTTTCTAATCCAATTTCTCTTTTTTGGATAGTAGCTTAGATGCATAAGGCAATTACGACCTTCTTCATTTTTGTTCTTGAGGACTGATTCATGAAATATTGACCCATTCTGATACAAAAATTTTGGATCCACTTTTATTTTATTTTTAAAATTTTAAAAATAATACATTAAAAGAATTATCCAATAAACTAAAATGATTTGACAATCTGACTGTGTAAAATATTCAAAATTCATTCTGAATAGATCCGCTTTCAAATTAAAATCATTGTGAATGTCCTGGTTTTACTATACAATCACCAATGGTATAATTAACAGAACAGGAGATTATTTAATTGACATTGGTTCATATGGTCAAGATATTATTACTTTTTCATTTGCAGATAACAAATCATTTAGTTATTATTTTATTCTACAAGATACATATATGAGCGATTACTTGCGTATTAACTATGAATCATGCACAAGCAAAATATGGAAAATCACAGAGCCAACTTTTAATTTTAAATCAACAAACACGTATTATAATTATAAAGTAAGATTTTGTGTAGTTTCTTTTCAAATTACTGCGATTCCATAGAATTTCTTTCCAAATCGAACGATCTAGCTTTCAATTATTCAAATAAAAAATATGAAATCAATAAGAATTACTGCTCAGTTTACTTAGATCCAACAGATGTTAGATTGAACATAAGCACATCTTCGGATGATTACGATTTTAATTATTCTTATTATCAACCAACATTTCAATACAAAGTTATAAATTACACAACAGACCATCTTTATTTCTCACCGACATTATACATTTTGTTCAGAAGTAAATCTCCGAATACAGTTGCAACAATCAAAATTTCACAAAGTTTTTCTTATGATACATACAGTGCTTATGATAAGGACAAGCTCGAATATCTTTGCAACCAATCAATTTCTTTTGGATCCCAGCCAAAATACAAAATATTCGGAATTCAAAAGTTATTAATTGGCAGAAATAATTAATATACATATCAAGGGTACGGAGGCACTGCGCGCCTCCTTACACTTGATATGTGAATTTGACACTTTACGAAACCGTTAACGTATATTTTACAACACCAACGACAACACCAACTTAACCTTAAATATTTATAAAGCCGCCAACCACTTCACCTCACTAACGTTTTCACAAACGACTTCACTACTGTAAAAAATAAACGTTCTCACTTACAAAAGTATTGCAACTCTTCCCATTGCTGTGCTTCACACAATAGTTCATATTCTTCAGTATCGCTGCTGTCACTCCAATCGTCAGAGTCAAAATCACTGTCAAAAATAAATGTTAGTAAGTTTTGACAAAGCTAATGAAAGTTAGTAAGACTAAGTTGTGTACTGTGGCACTGCGCGCCTCCGTACACCACTTAGCGGTTTTGACACATAAATGACTTCACTAATGACTTCACTAACGAATTCCCTACCGTCCTCACTAAATAAAAATAACCTTATTTTTATTTTTTTAAAAATTTTATTTCATTACAAAGACTGTCTGACTACATTTACTATGACTCTTTCCCAGAACGTTTCCGTGAACTATTCAAAACTCAAGTAAACTGAGAAACATGCATTTTAACAAAGACAGACCCATTGACGATTAAAGAAAACCCTGAATATATTACAATCCCTTATGACGCAAAGTTCATTGCATACATTCCTTATGGTCGCAGAGGAACGAAAACTATTTCAACAAAGAACAAAAATTATTTCTGGAGCGATGAAGAAAATTGCCTTATCTACATAAATGCATACTTAAATAAAGCTACATATTGTACAAAAGAAGGTTGGACTGGATTTGAGCTCTACATATACGACGACGATGGAAACAGACGTTGTGTATACCCATACGATAATATGTACCATTGTTCATCAAGCATTAAACGAATACATAGTCAGTAAAGGGTCTCATTCCTGTTGAGTAGATATGCTTTATTTTTGTTCTGTCATTTATATAAAAATAAACTTAAAAATTAATAATATCACCACCCTCACACGTATGAAAAACATAGCACAAAAATAAATTTAGGTGAAGTGGTGAGATCTCACCTCTTTTTTCACCTGTTTTTCACCCTGTTGAATTCATTGCTTTATAACTCTCTTCCTTGGTTTCTTTTTAGTTGCTTTCTTCACGTCTGTCTCCAACTTGACTGTCTTTCTTCTTCGGCCGTAATGATACCAGTTACTTCCACCAGTCAATGGGTCAAATGGTCTTTCGTAAGGGTTTCCATACATTCCATAGGGACCATACGGAAGAACTACTGGTGGAGAAGAAACATTTTCTTTAGTTCCATCGACTCTATTTAAATGCATTGTTTCACCTTTCATCTGGTCATTAAAGTCTTTTGCGTGTTTGCAAACTCATCGTCCTTTCTAAAAGCATTTTCTGACTCAGTCGCAACCAAATTGGATGCTTTATTTATGAGCCCTATTTTATTTAATCTTAACTTCTTTGCAACCCAGCCTCCAATCTTTCCTTTATTTGCGTCTAATGTCTTCGAAACCCTTCCTCCACTCATTTTATTTACTGCGTCATAAGCTCCAAGTGCTTTTGCTCCAAATGCTAATGCTTTTGTTCCCATTGCGCCTAAAGCTGCCCAAGCTACCATTTACACCATATTAAAATCATCTCTCTTCAATATTATCTCATAAAAGTTCTCGTTACTGGAGAAAGTCAATGAAACATAAGTGTTCTCACGGGCTTCGCCCTCACCGCTTTGCGGTCTATCTAACTTATTCTTATATCATCTATACGCTTCAAAATGTCTGAACAATTGCTAACATCTTCTACAACAGTTATTTCATCATGAATGACTTCAAGAAACAAGCTCATTTAATATGCTATTAAAATCATCTCAATAATGAGTCCATCCTTTCCATCTTTAGGTAGCACAACATCTTTCATTGAAGAAGGTTCGACAAGTCTTATGTTAAACTTACTGACAAAGTTTGTTATACTATAATGCTTCGGCGGCGAATACATGTAGTTTGAAAGACATAATATAGATTCTTCAGCAAATTCACTTATACTGGATTTTATAACAATGTTCTCACGAGACCAAATGCCACCAATTGACAATCTTGTAAGCAATCCTGCTGAACCTTCAACTGTAAACGTCGATGGTAACATTCCACGAAGGTCATCTATTGACATCGTTGAGTCACTGTATTTAAAGATTTTCTTAAAGCAATCGTCATTATCTAACCATGCAATAGCTTTTGAAGTTTTCATTCGAATATACATCTGCTTCATTAAATGTAAAACCTGACTTCTTTGCAGAGATGACTTTAAATCTATTGAGTTTGTTTCAAAAATTATATGCTATGGTAACTTCTGAAGGTAATGGATGTCCTTCCGCAGTCAGTTGTTCTCTCACTACCGTTTGAAGCTTTGTATTAAAAACTTTCATGTCATCTCCTGTATCTAAGTTCACATACACAGCAACAGGGAAACTATCTTGCTTCTTTGTTTCATCATTATATCTCAAAACATTAAAGTTCTTCAATAATATTGTTCTTCCTGCTGGAATACTTCGAACCTGTCTGATTTCAATAGCTTTCTCACCTCCTACATACTCTACCCAGTGTCTTGGATATTCATAAGTATACTGACTTTCTTGAATTTTGGTTGGTTTCATCATAACATGTTCATAGTATATCTTTATACTCTTGTCAGTTAGACTCGGTGCTATGTTCTGAATATTTCTGACTTGCATTTTTAATGGAGATAAAATGAAGCATTTAATACATGACGTAGATGAAGACATGAATGAAACTACAGACAAACTTAACTCTTCTCTTATTCTTCCTTTCAGCAAAGATTATGAATTCTGTTCAAATGGTGTGTATTTCTATTGTGGAAAGATGGGTTCAGGTAAGACATTTAATTTAATTCGTCATATACTCATAACAGAGCGTTTAGGAAACGACTCTACTATGACCAAATCATTATATCAGCAACTTCAGACTCTATGGACTCAACAGCGAAAACATTTATGTCAAAAGTTCAAGCCTCTGTCGTTAAAGTTCCAGACAGTGAACTCATTGAATTTCTTCAACGTTACATTCGACGTAAGAGGAAATATTATGCCATCGTTGAATTTATACAGTCAGGAATGCAAAAGACTTCTGAGGAGATGGAAAGAATTGTTGACAAACACCACTTACGTCAATACTCAGGAGTTTACGATATGAAACGACTTACAAACTACATTCTGTCAAAACTTTCAAAATACCCCTTCAAAAAATATCCTTCAAACACTCTGCTCGTTTGCGACGACTTCGCTGGTAAAGGTTTAGTGTCAAAACCAGACTCACCATTAGCTAACATCATTACTAAAGTCAGACATTACCACTTAACTGTAGCAATACTTATGCAAACATGGAGGTTTTTAGCTTTAAACATAAAACGTCTCATAACTGACTTCGTTATCTTTCAAGGTTTCTCACGCTATGACATTGAACTCATTTGGAAACAGTCAGGTATAACATTACCTTTTGATGAAATTTGGGAAGCATATAAGTCTCTCATCTCTCCTCGTTCATACCTTGAGATTCATATCATGACTAATACCATTAAAGTCAAAAATATTCCATGGGAACGACCAACATTGTTTTAAAGTTTAACCTTCAATTGACTGATGGTAAACAAATTCCATGCATCTCTGTCGCCATTTCTGTTAATATTTTTGCTGTCATTCATATCATCCACTTCCCCATCCGTTAGCTTTTGAGGATATGCGTTAGAATAGCTGTTCTTAAATGAAGGCTTTTCACCTTTGAGAGCATAAACTCTATAACTTTCTGCATACTTTATGTTTGAACCTCCTGAGCCATCGTTGACATAAATTTTTATAGGCTTCCACCCTTTGTTCATGTTCCTGCTTCTTCCCTTAGCTCTTTTGTTCAGTAGTTCTACATCTTTATACACAGCACCTGTCTCAGTGAATTCAACAATATTTTCATTCGTTAGCTTTACATTCAAACCCTTGTCGAGTATATTGTTCATTTCATACATATAAAAGGTTTTTATTCTATATGAAATGAGAAGCAAATCCATCTTAGCTGGTGCCGTTAATGTTCCAATTGAACCAACATCAAATGTTGACTCACGAACGACAAACAATATTGTCATAAAGAACTATAGTTCGGAGTGTTTGAAAGAACCAGAACCAGAGCTGAAATCCGTGAATTTAAACTCAGCTTCAAACGCTAACGCTACATCAGATGTTAAGTTAGAGTATCCACCACTGGACCAAATTCTTTCAAGAGAAGCCAACGACAATCCTTACACAAATGTTCAAACAAATCCTTCAGATAACGTAGACCATTACCTTCTTCAGTTATACCAAACAATTTTACTCAAAGACGATAAGAAGCTTTTGACAAATCTTATAAGTAAGAACCAAATAATTCTAACAAAGGAGGACCTTGAAAATGTTATATCACGAATAACAGGGAAACAATGTGTCATTGACTATCTCGACCCTAAAATCGAATGCTGTGGTCAAACTCCACTATTCATGAAAATAGGTAACATCCGCATCATTGAAACACCAGGAACTACAGGAGTTGAGTTTAAGTATAAATATTCGAATGAATATACAAAACTTTCAACAGAATATAAGCTTTGTTTGAAATATGTTTTAGTAAATTAAAGCAGTCAGGAGGGCTCTTTGAGCCCATCTTGGCGCTTTGCGCCGTCAGTCAAAAAAATTTCAAGTTAGCAATTTGTAATATCTATCCAAAACTTCTTCAACAGTATCGAACTCATCTTCATAATGCAAACCTAATCTTATTGACTTGGTGCAGTTTTCACTAACACAATATTTTTCTGTTCTCTTGACTGACATAACTAATTCATTTGTTTCATCAAACAGCAACAACCAAAGTTCATGACCTAATACATAACATTCATACTTTATATTTTTAGCTCTGAGTTCTCTTGTAAGCTGTTGCATTTAATATTTTCTAAAAGTCAACTTCAACAGTCATTCGCACTGGTGCCTTCAGTTCTACAGGCTCTCCTTGAAAGTCAACAAGTCTGAATTGCATGTCTTTCAAATTATGAGGACTAATGCGAACCCATTTACCTAAATGAGTTGCTATGACAGGAACGTTTGGAATGAACATTGAATTGACTGCATAACAGAAGGATTTATATTCTACTGAACCTTTACTATTAACTCCTGAAATACCTGTGACATTAGCTATTTTAGACTCAATGTATAAACAATTACCATAACATACGTATGGAACAGATTTCATCTCAATCGTTTTGTCAACACTTTTCAAAGGAAATGTCATATGGTATGCACCCAAAAGAAGTTGTACTCTATGACTCATTCTTGGTATCTTAAACTCCTTCACATAACTGAACTTCAAAACTCTTGCAATAAGTTTAACATTCATTAAGTTTTCTTCGTTATCCTTGTTTATTGTAGTATTTATGAGAGCATTTAACACTCCAGCTAATGTTTCCATCTTATATTCTACATTATTGTGAAATCTTATTTCGTGCTTCTTTCCATCTATTTCAATCTCCATGAAATCTGTTTCATCTGTTATAACGAATGAAGCGATAGTATTGAAGTCAACCATTCTGAATGCAAGCGCCTCATTCTGTAGACCTAAGTTTGTTTGTAGCTTTACTGTCCCGTATTCGTTTGGGTCTGTACTTTGCAAATAGAACAACATTTTATTCTCATTAAAATATGAGTATAGCTGCATATGCGTATGAAGCTGACAGAGCTAAACGTTTATATTTTGGTCAATACTCTCTCACACTTACTGACAAATATATTGTTATCACTGATGGAAATACTGAGAAATACATAACATGGAAGGACTATGAAAAGTTTGACCCTATTTTAACTCCATGTACTATGCCGTTTATAAAGGACGGTGAAATTATTGAAAAAGATAATACAACCGTATATAGGTCTGTTTATGAAGCATTAGAATATATGTTGAATCATAACCCAAAAAGATTTGACCCAAGCACTACACCATGTGCAATGCCTTTTATTAAGGACGGTGAAATCGTAAGAGTTCCGGATTCAACAGTTTACACAGCTGTTCAAAACAGTTTACAAAACATTTTAGCGAATATCTTTAATTCAGAAACTACAGAAATAAAATTACCATATATAACAGATGCTAAAGAAATTAAATCAAAAACGACAACATTATTTACGTCACTTAATGATTTAATGACTTATATCATTAATATTCCTGCACCAACTACAGCATTTGATCCAAACTCGACGGTTTGCAGTGTACCTTTCATAAATGACAGTTCATTAATTACTTTAAGGGATTCGACAGTAAATGAATCATTAAAGGCGTCATTAATGAAAATCATTGATTTTAATTCATTCACGAATACATATAATTCATTCATTAATGTTTCATATGCTTCTAAAGAAGGTGAGCCAAAAACTATCGATAAAGCGGTGTATGAAATAAAAGCATCAACGACGAAATTGAATTCGTTAACTTTTGACGGTGATAGTTTCGTTAATGACATAACATCGGGGAAAACAATTTTAACGAAAGAATACTTAAAATCTCATGTTAGTGAGTTCGTTGAAATTGAAAAAGAAGGTGGAATTAAGTTCGATCCACTGAATTTCATTTTCAGCTTAGCGAATGCGGGTGTTAGTTTCGCTGAATGGACAACTATACAGAGTGAAATAAATGCAATATGGACGTTTTTGGGGTCAAAAGCGGGAATGGGTGAGCTTGTAAATGCTGCAAGAACATTAGGTGAAACAGGAAATTTTGTAGATGGTTTTAAAAGACTTGTTTCAAATGTTTTAACAAACACAAAGAAATTATTTAGATATACCGTACATAACGGACGGATTTTCGAACAGATAGCAACAAACCCTCCGGTTATGGCTGCGTTGATGATGGTTAGAGATATAAAACCACGTAACGACGGGAACGAAGAACATGAACAACAGGATACTGGTCGGGTTATTCGAGACATTAAAAACGTGTATCCTGAAGTTATTGATTTATTTAGAGGAGTTAATGATTCAATTTCAAAACATTCTATAACCCTCGATGAAGAGAATAAATTAACAGATTATATATTCGTCATTATTGCAGAATTAATGAAGAGAATAAATGAAAAAGGAATTGGTGATATCATTAATGTCAGCGATGTAATGATGAAAAGAAATTTTGACTCATTATTTACAAAACCGAAAACAGAATATAGTCTTTATGACGTAATTACCGAATTAATGAAAAAGATTAATGATAATAAGAGTTCTGGCGGAAGAGTTGAATTAGAAGTGAATGATGTTAATGAGAAATTAGCCGAAAAAGCAGACAAAAATGAGCTTTTAGCTCTGAGTGATAAAGTCAAGAACCACGTTCATTATATAACTTCAGACGAACAGATTATAACGGACTACCATGGATATTTAACACGAAGTGATGAAGCGAAGACAAAAAATGTTAATTAAAGAAGATATAAATACATTCGTGCTAAAGGTTATGACATAAGGTGTACTGTACAGTATGATGTAGCTAAAGCACCAGAAGCATTTGGTTATACCGGTGAAATTTATGCCTCTACTTTCAATATTAACGGTGTATTAGTTGAACCAAGATTTACTTTGAGAGTTAAGGCAAAAATAACGTTTGAAGATGCTATTAAAAGTAAAGCTGACAAAGATGAACTTGACGCAACGAACAAAGTTTTGAAATCTCATAAACACAATATCTCCGATATAAATGAACTTCAAGCTACATTAGACAGTAAAGCCGACAAGAACCATACACATAAATCCTTCACTACTGTTAGAGCAGACGACATAATATTGAACTATACCCTTGGTTCACGTGCACCTTTAGAGAATCCAAGTACAAGCGTAAAAGATACACTAAACTCCTTAAATAGTAAATGTATGAACATTGAAGGTCATGTCAGAAACTTTGAAACACATGAACTACCAGCAATGTTAGATAAAAAAGCAGATAAAGAACATACACATAAATCCTTCACTACTGTTAGAGCAGACGACATAATATTGAACTATGATTTGGGTTCAAGTGCACCTTTAGAGAATCCGAGTACAAGCGTAAAAGATACACTAAACAATTTAGATAACAGTTGCAGGAATATCGAAGATCATGCCAGAAACTTTGAAGCATATGAACTACCAGCAATGTTAGATAAGAAAGCCGACAAAACTTATGTAGATGAAAATTATGCAAAGAAGTCGGAAGTAAATGCTGCGCTTAATGGAAAAGCCGACAAGAACCATACACATGAAGAATTTCAAACAATCAAGATTAAAGAAATTAAAGCATGCATCGAAATAGTAACAAAAACAGGAAGAAACGGTGCAACTGTACAAGAACAAAGAATTTATCCTCCTACTTTTCCTAACGGTTTAATAACAAACAATATAAATATTGAAGATGGCAATAAAGTTATAAACGTTAAACATGAACTTCAAACAATGAAGGCTCAGATTCTTCAAACATTATATCCTGTTGGTTCTATTTATACGTCAATGAACTCAACAAATCCAGAAACAGTTTTAGGTTTTGGTACGTGGAAGCAGATTGTAGATAAATTCTTATACTGTGCTAGATATTCAAAGCAAACAGGAGGTTCGAAGAAAATTAAAGAAGCAAACCTTCCACCGCACACTCATACAGGAACTACAAACACAACAGGTAGTCATTCACATTCAATAACAAAAAGAGGTTATACAAATCTTGCAGCAGGTTCGGATAGACAGGGAATGCATAGATATGATATTTCAAGTGACCCAGTAGATTCAAGCGCAGGTATTTTCTGTGGAACCGCAGGAAATCATTCACACACTTTCACAACAAATCCAACAGGCTCGGGTGCAGATTATATGCCACCCTTTGTGACTATATTCGCATGGTACCGCGTTCAATGAACGCGCTTTAGCCTAGAATAAAATCTTTAACTTTACATAAATGAGCTTGAAAGAAGTATTCGAACAACATCCATGGAGGTCATTTAAGAAATTCAATGAAGCTGCAAAGAGTTGGGGATTTACTAACAGAGCTGAAGTGAAAAGGTTCTTTGACAAAAATGTTGTACATCAAACAAAAATAAACCCTTACGACTACTTTTTACCAATTTACTCCAACGCTCCTGACGCATACCAATTTGACACTCTCATTCAAAGCAGAAAAGGAGGACATAAACCATTCCTCATCTTCATTAATGTTAACACTCGCAAAGCATATGCATATCCAATGAGGAATAAAGGAACTCGTGAAGTGTTAAGAGTTTTACAAAAGTTTGTAGCAGAACATAGCCCAAGTACTTTAACATCAGACCAAGACAGTGCATACCTCAGCAATGAAATCACAGATTTTCTCATTAAGCATAACATAACTCACTACACTACTGAAGACCATAACCATAACATACTCGGTATCATAAACCGCTTCATAAGAACGCTCAGAGATTTAAACCAAGAGCGAGACTTTACCGAAGAAACAATGAAACATTTCATCGAAGTTTACAATTCCTCAACACATTCTACAACAGGGCATACACCAAATTCAATGACACAACAACAAGAAGAAAAGTATATACAAAAGAAACGAAGTCAAACACAAAATATCAGAAATTCAACACAATTTACCCTCATTCCTGGTACAAAAGTTCGTGTAGTTCTTGACGACAAACCGTTGACAAAGAAACGTTTAAGGTTAAGTAGAAACTATTATATCGTAGACTCTACGCAAGGTAATGGATATCTTATAAAAGCTGCTGACGACTCTATTGCGTTTTACCCTCGTCACAAATTAGTCGAAAGTAGTAATGGCAAACTTGCTGAAACCATTGACGAAGCAAAGCGAGGAGTGGTTATTGAAATACTTGGCTACAACATAAACGATGACACTTATAAAGTAAGATATGAAGGAGGCGTTGAAGATGTTATACCATCTAAGAACTTGAGAGAGTCAAAGTCAACACATCTGGGACCATTAGAGCGGGAGTACTGGAAAGACAAAAATAAGCCAGAAAGAATAAGAAAATTCTTCTAAACTTTTTCATTAGATGTAAATCAGACATGAATGAGAACAGTCGTGATATCATTAATGGTACCATTTATTTTTGTCATAAAGACGCAAAGCGGCAAGGACGAAGTCCATGACCAAAAATAATGTTTAGGGTAGATGGTTAGATCTAACCTCATTTCTACCCTCTTGAATTTTCATGAATTTTCATAAAAGATAAAAATAAAGTTATTTTTATTTTTATTTATTTTTTTATTTTGTATGTAAAGACAGTAATGACAAACATTGAGTTTGAAACAGTTAGAAAGATAGACAATGACACCAAAGTGGTTAGAATTGGTGATTTAAACGTAAGATACTGTAAGAAATACAACAAATATTCTTTGTCAGACATTATAACACCATCTGAAAAGAAAACAAACCACTGGGTTAGAAATGCTTCAACTCAGAAAATTTTGACAAGAAATCCTGAGCTTATGATATCAGTAAGATTCTATGGAACTACAGCATATCTCATCGACAAAAGTCTTATACCAATAGTTTTGTTATGGTTAGACCCAGTTGTTGGATATAACTTCATAACATATGGTTCATTCGATACGGAACGTTGCAGTGAAGGCTTACTTTACATCGTTCAGAAACCGAAGGACTTCAACACAAAAAGATATAAGATAGGAAGGACATATAATATAACTCAAAGATATGACAGTACAGTCAATAGAGTCAAGGTTGTGTTTGTTAATGATATGAGAGCTGCTGAAACAGAACTGCTTGAAGTTTTTGAGAAAATGTATGGTGCTCCCACGAAAGGTAAAGAAACGTTTGAAGTAGATGAGATAGATAAAGCTATAAAATTATTTGACGAAGTTGCTGAAAAATACATGTAAAGCGTTTATTTTTGGTCTTTTGTGAAAGTCAGAAAATAACGCTAATTTTTTTCTAACAAATTTTTTTATTTTGTATGTAAAGACAGTAATGTCAACATCAGAGAACACAACAATTGCTATCGTTCATGAAGCCATAAATGAAGAATACGAATACATACAGTATAACAAACAATTGAGACTCATTCGTTCGGTCAAAGACGATATGTACCAGATGCAAAGTATAATGAACGCTCTTCGTTCTACAAAGCAAGCATATCATTGGTTTGAAAACCAACAGACAAAAGAACTTTTAGAAGAGTTTCCTCATATGATTGCTTCCCTCGGAAAACTGAGAGAAGAGATTCCGTATGAAAATCGCAAGAATTTGGCTCCTGGTTTGAAAGGTTATTATGTTCATAGACTTTTAGTAAATGCTGTAGCAATGTGGGCTTCACCTCGTTATGCTTGTTATATTTTCATGATGTTAGATGAACTATATAAAGCAGAACGTGGAGAGGTGGAAAAGAAACTTCAAGCAAAAGATGAAGTCATTGAATCCAAAGACAAAAGCATACAGAAAAGAATACCGCGTTCGGTACCAAAAGGAAAGGAAAAGAGTTATAAGTATATGATATATACTGAAGAGTTGGAGAAAGAAGAAGATAAAGATATGGTTATGTTGCATTTAGTCAGAAGAAACAACAAGAGCTTTTATGACTTAGCTAAAATATATAAATCTGACAGAAACCGGTTCTATCGTGAAAACTTACCGATTTCAATGACACCGAATGAGCAAATAAAGGAAATTGTCAAAAATACTCTTCCTCAAACACACTATGACATCAAAGGTTGCACAATACTTACATTCAAAGAAGACTTAACATTACTGAAGGAAAAAATAACAGAATATTTCGATAACTTCAAAGAGGAAGAATAAAAAAATCTAAGCTAATTTTATTTTTTTATAAAATTTTATCTCATATGAAAGAACATGAATTTAGAATATTCGGAACTCATGACAGAAGAAGAGAATGAACAACATGTAAAAGATTATGCAAAATTTCTGAAGACATACAAAGCATTTAAACAATATCTAAATGCTTCTAAAGATTATGCAAATTTCTGAAGGTATATAAAGCTTATGAAAAGTTTATGCATTGGGGAATTGTTGTAAAATATCGATATGAAGACTAACCAAAAATAAATGAAACAGAGGAGGAGGAAGAAATAACTTTGCATGACCTCCTTTCGGGACCAGTTCAAACATTCTTAAATAAAGGAATAAATTTCATTTTTCAGCATTATTTTTGCATTTTGACACGAAGTGAAGATTTGCACTTCGTGTCAAAATGTGATGTCATGTTGTCTCATTTTTTCAGAGAAGTTAATTAACCTGGTGACACCTTCAGTTCTTCAAAAATAAATTTCATTTTTCAGCATTATTTTTGCATTTTGACACGAAGTGAAGATTTGCACTTCGTCAAAATGTGATGTCATGTTGTCATCATTTTTAAGAGAAGTTAATTAACCTGGTGACACATGGTGACGTAGTGACACCATCAGTTATTCAAAAATAAATTTTCTTATAAAGCTTCAGGGTCTATTTCTTCAACCATTTCACTTCCTTCGTCAATGTCAATAGAAGCTTCTTCAACCTTTGGTAAGAATTTCTGTATAACATCTTTGTTCGTTATTGTCTTCAGAGATGAAGGATAATATTTCACATTTGTTTCACCCTTCTTATATTCTTTCTGTTCGGAAAGATTTAAAGCAATACTGAAGAAGTCAACGTTAGAGTTCTTTATGACAGTATAATGAGTATCTTTGACATTCACGAAGAAACTCTTTTGTTTCAAAACTACTGCTAACTCTTGTGAAGTATAACGTTTGCGGTCAATGACGATAGCTAATGGTCTGACATACTGACCAAACTTAGATTCTTTCACAAACTTCTTGTTAAAGATAACATTAACATTTGAGCATTATTGAACTCATTCTTGATGGCAGTAGCGAGAGCATTGTATGAAAAGAACTTGCAATCTTGCATGTGTTTCATTAAAATAAAAATATTAAATTATTTTGAAAAATAACTTTAAAAAATCTAATCTAATTTTTTCAAAAAATATTTTTTATTTCCTACTAAAGATGTATCGGAAGTTGTCTAAGTTAGAAACACTCGGAAATAAAACAACTTCTTACAGAAGCTAATATAGATGTTGCAAAGCATTACGCAACAAACAAAAAAGCACTCGCTGACATCCTCAATGACTATAATGGTGCAATAAGTTATGATAAAATTCATGAGTTCATAAAGCCGCAACGCGGCGAGGACGAAGTCCATGCAAGAGCATTTCCTTTAAATGACGTTGCTATTGACTTATATCATAGACGTTCAGTACCTCATGAAGTAAGAAGAGAAATGTTTGACATAACAAATGCAAACGTTGGTGAAACAAGAAGAAGAGACGACACACTGAAACAACAGAGAAGAGAGATGTTTAAGAGCGCTATAGAACAAGTTCGCAAAGCTAACGATGTCATTCGTTCCATTGACGACAAACCAAAAGAAGGTGAGAGATGGTTAAAGAAAGATGAAGAGAATAGGAAGAGAAATATGAAGTCAGGCAATAGACTCATTGACTTTAACATCGAAGCTTTAGATGAACCAAACAGAGACTACTTACACAATCATTTCGTTAAGGTTTTCATGAGACTCTTAGAGAAAATTAAAATAAACTCACAACAGAGATGGATGGTATGTTATAAACTTGGTGGAAAGTATGAATGTTCTACGTTAAACCTCAATAATATTGGAACATTACTACATCAGCTCTTGAAGGAGAAACTTTATATCAGAGATAGAAGCAAATGCTGCAGGTATTGTTGAAATGCACTATGACTTCTTCTTGACAAACATAAAGAATCTTACTGAAATAAAGATGTATGATTTAACAGAATATGAAGGCTTAACGATGTCAGATGTAAAGAAAGGCAAACCAAAAAGAGACCATATAGAGATGAAAGCACACTGACAAATGACCAGAAAGCCATTTTGGAAGCTCTTAAGCAAACAGGAAACCCAGCACTTATAGAAAGCTTTTGGAAAGATAATGGTGAAAAGAAGTTTTATAAGAAGAGAAGCGGTCAGTTCTGGAAGTATCTTTGCACATTACCTATAAATCTTGAACACTACCAAATCTTCAATGAACTGAACAAAAGAACTGCAGCACTTATGACAGAAGACAATTGTTTCGTTTATGCTTGCATTCAGGCTGGAGTAAATGAAGAAACTATTGACCACATGAGAGAAGTCATTCGTGTTAGAGACTTTCCTCAAACTAAAGTACAAGAAATTTCTGACGCAACAGGTATAGCATTTAATGTTACCATTGGTTACTTCAATGACTCAAGACATAATGAAATAAAGAGATACATACCAAAAGAATGTGAAACTGTTAGAACTATTGACTTACTTCTTGTTGAAGACCACTACATGCTAAACGAAAGATTACCAATGACAACATATTTCATTCGCAACTATATAGAAATTCTCAAAGCTTGTGGTGGAATGAACATTGAGAAACAAATGAAGATTTATACAAAGAGAGAAGATAAATATGTAGTTCGTTATGATATAGGGTGTCCAAAGGTGCGTTTAGCACAGCGCTCTATATGAGACTATTAAAGGAGATATATGCTGATTATAAATATATAATAAAAAATATGAATATATGTATATGATGAGTAAGTTGTATTTTGGCGCCATGCCGGGATATAAAATGAATTTTGAGACAAGAGGCGGTTTCGCGGGAAATTTTGGCGGGATTTTTTCATTTTTTTAATGAATCATAAAGAAAACATCCTCGCTCTTGCAAAAAAATGCAAAGACTGTAAAAAAATCTACGAGACATTGGTAAAATGCTTCGGTATGGATGCTCCTAGCTATTCCACTGTAACGTATCATGTTAGGATGTATCACTTCATGAACAAAAAGGCGCCCATCATAAAAATTGACAAAAAATCGCCGGATCAAAGAAAAATCAAAGCAATTCTTCAAGTGCTAGATGAAGACCCAAGAGCATCACTCAGAAGGATAGAGGAGATGACAAAGATACCACGTACAACAGTCAGTTATTATCTGCACAATTATTTGAACTACAAACTAGCGTATACACGTTGGGTTCCGCACAACCTTAATTCAGTTCAAAAAAAATCTAGAGTCCAATCTTCGAAAGAGCTCCTCTCTATATTGGGTGCGTATCAATCCAAGAAGTTTCGCTTTTTAGTAACAGGGGACGAGTCTTGGTTTCAATATGCAACAGAAGTCAAAATCATGTGGATCCCGAAGGATGAAAATCCGCAAACATTCCCGAAGAAAAAAATTGACACACCAATGATTATGTTGTCGGTTTTTTGGGGCGCGAATAGCATCATCGCAATTGATATTCTTCAAAAACCTAATACGATGAATGCTCAGTATCTAATTGACAATGTTCTTACTCAAATTATCAATTCTGATGAGTTTGAGAAATCCAAACAACAAAAACAAAAGTTTGCAATTCATTTTGATAATTCAAGAGTTCACAAAAGTCATAAGGTAATGAATTACTTGTTGGAAAACAATGTCAAAGTTGTTCCAAACCCAATTTATTCACCTGATATTGCACCCTCTGACTTTTATTTATTCGGCACGCTAAAAAAGAGAGCTGAAGGACGCGAATTCGCGAGTCCAGATGATCTTGAAAATTTTGTAAGAGAGCAATTTGAGCAATTTTCTCATGATGATTTAAAGCATGTCTTTCAAGCCTGGATCGATCGCTGCGAACGCGTGATTGAATCCAATGGTGATTATATTTAAATAAACTTTATATATATGTAACTTGTTTATTTCTATTCGCAGTATTCAGGTTTGTGCTAAACACACCTTTGGACACCCTATAGAACAACACCGTTATGGGATGTTATGAAAACATTGTGGGAGTGCAAATATTTCGAACCTATTTCTTATGGAGAACTTTTCACATATACGACTGACTTATATAAACAGAACCTTGCACCATTTAAAGACTTGTCATATGCTCCAAAGTATTGTGTACAACTGAAGAAGAAAGCCGAGTCAAAAGAAGTAAATAAAGCTAAATGTAAGTTCATTCCTGAGCACGTTTTCTTTGCTGACTTTGAGTGCAGTACCGATGGCTTTCATAAAGCTTTTAACATCTGTTATGACAGTGAAGATGGTTCAGTGAGTGAAAGCATTTGGGGTCAGAACTGTGCAACAGAATTTTTGGAACGACTTCCTGACAAGAGTTTAATATATTTCCATAACCTCAGTTATGATATAAACTTCATCTTAAGACACATGACAGAAGTGAAAGGAACTCCCATCATTAAAGGTTCACGAACAATGCAAATAACTGGCTTATATAAAGGAAGGGCAATTATTATAAAAGACTCTTACAGTGTTATAAATAAGAAGCTTAAACTATTTCCTGCTATGTTTAACTTACAAACAGGACCGAAAGAAGTATTTCCATACAACTACTACAGCAGTACTTTGTTAGCAAATGACAACAGAACTGGTGTCATTTCTGAAGCATGTAAGTTTGTAAAAGATATTGATACATTCATGAAAAACATAGATTCCATCAAAGGTTGCAGAATAGATGAGAACCACTTCGACTTAGAAAAGTATAGCACATTTTATTGCAAACAAGATGTAAGAATTTTAAGAGAAGGTTTTGTTAAGTTCCGCAATGACATATTGAAAGAGTTTGATTTAAACGTATATGACTACGTTAGTATTTGTTCTATTGCTAACAAATTGTTTGAGAACAGAGTGTACTTCCCGAATGGAAATTTATATGACCTCTCAAATAAACCAAGAGAATTTATTTCACGCTGTATTCAAGGTGGAAGATGTATGCTGTCAGATAACATGAAACAAAAGAGCGAAAAGAAACTCATTGCTGACTTCGACGCTGTTTCATTATATCCATCAGCTATAGCAAGACTTTATACTTTAGAAGGAATTCCAAAAGTATTGAAGGATGAGATGTTAAGCACAGAGTATCTCATGAGACATTTATTCGATGACGACCAAAAGGAACCCATTGGTGAAAAGTTTATGTCTGGCTTCTTTGTTCTCATTAAGATAACAGAGATTGGAATACATAGACACTTTCCTTTAATAGTTTGTGACCCTGAACTAAATCCAGAACTTAACGTTCCCAGAAGTTCAAACACTTGCTGTTTAATGTATGTTGACCATATAACATTACAAGACCTCATAAAATATCAAGGTGTCAAATGTGAAGTGTTGCAAGGATACTATTACGATGGAAACAGAGATATTAGAATAAGAGATGAAGTAAAGAAGTTGTTTGAGTTAAGGTTAAAGTATAAGAAAGAAGGAAATCCTTTGCAAGAAAATATAAAGCTCATTCTGAACAGTATTTATGGCAAAACTATTCTATCTCCTATTGAGTCAAAAATAACCATAGTAAATGACAAAGATGCTATAAGATATGCCATCAGAAACTACAACCATATAGTGAAGTTCGAAGGTTTGGATGGTTCAGATAAAACTATTTTCAAGCTAACGAAAAGCATTTGCAGACACTTTAACTTCTGTCCACTTGGTGTTAACATTCTGTCTATGTCGAAGAGAATAATGTGTGAAGTATTCTGTACTGCTGAAGATATGGGTCTTCAAATATTTTACCAGGACTGCGATAGCATGCATATTTTCAATGAAGACATCCCACTGTTAGCTCAGGAATTTCAGAAGAGATACGGTAGAGAACTTATTGGTAAAACATTAGGTCAGTTCCATTCTGACTTCGCAGAAATAACACCTGGAAAACAAAGTTTAGCATACAAGTCAATATTTTGTGGAAAGAAGACTTACATAGACTTACTCACGAACGATTTAAATGAAGTTGCATTCATGCACGTTGTAAAGGTGTAAAACAAGACGTTCTTGCTTTAACAGCTAATGAAATGTTTCCTGAAGCTATACAATGCTATTACAATGAAGATAAGAACATTCACATACCTGTTGGAACATATGACAAAGACTCTGAGTTCAGTTTAATGAAACTTTACAAAGCACTTCATGATGGTCAAGAGATTGGATTTGACTTATGTAAGTCTTCTAGTCCTTGCTTTGCTGAAAAGTTTAACTTCTCAATAACGACTAAAACAAGCTTTATTCGTAAGTTGAAGTTCTGAGGTCATTTATTTTTGTCAGCAGTGAGACCATTCATGATAAAAATAATGAGGTCATATATTTTTGTCATTTATGTATAACCATTGTCTCTCTTAAACTTTGCAATAGACAGCTTTGTTCTTCTTCCTTCTACATCTGTAATGTTTATATAATCTTTGCTATACTGTCTTAAGACATTCATTCGTCTGTATTGAGTTCCCATGAAATAGTAAAAGACATCTTCACTTGGGACATAGTAGTAATTTTCTAGAGTAAATTTAGAGTATTGTATAATTTCAACAGCATCTTCAGGAAGAGTGTCTACAATGTCAAACCAATAGCCATTCGAACCAGAAATATTTCTCATGTTTTGTCTTCTCGACACCCACCTTAAGTTTGAGATATGAAAGTCTCCTCTGTCTCTGTTTATATGGTCTACTTCTCGAAGTCCTTCAGGATTCGGTATAAATTGATTTGCAACAATTTTATGCTTAAAGAGTTTATGTTTGTTTAAATAAACACAAATATAACCATCACCGTTGTCAAACTCACTTACAACTCTTTTGTTACTTATGCGCCTAATTGGATATGGGTACTCTGAAAAGATTTCATAGTCATTGTCATGTTCGAGTGTTTGCCAATGTCCTTCACCTTCCATGCCTTTCACTCAAATAAAAATTTTCAGAAAAAATAAAACTAGCGTAGATTTTACAATACTGCGATGGTAGAGTTTAAGAGTTGTGCTTCAATGTAGAGACAGTCCTTATGGTCTGGAGGTAAGAACACTGGGCAGTTATGGTCATGAGTGGAGAACATGTCTATCCAAAACTCACGATTGAAGCCAGTTAATTTATAGTATTTAGGGTTAGGAAGTGGTGAAGTTCTTGTATGACCAATGAACTCATTTTCAACTCCCTTACTTAAGTTTGAAAAAATAGCTTGCTTTCTATCCCAAATGCCAGGTGTTACAATCTTTGAAAATTCATTTTTCCTCGGAAGCATTGCATCATAATTGAAAACATTCTTGAAATCATCACTTGGTTCAGAGATTTGAAATCTTATACGTAATGGATTTTCTTTCTCTTTAGCTACTTCATTGAATGGTGAAATATAACAAACTGACAGTCATGTGTTCCATCTTCATTTTCATTAAATTCATAATGAAAGTCTATAAGTTGTGGCTGACTACCTTCTTCTTTCAGTTGTGCAAGAAACTCACGTAAAGGCTGTAAAGTTTGTACTTCAATGTTAAACTTTTTCTCGAAATCTCATTAAATAAATCATACATTGTTGCAATTTGTATCGTCTTTAAAGTATTTGTATATGTGAATGTTTTGGGCGCTTAAAGACTGTTCGTCATTTTCTATCTCGACTTGAAGTATAAAGTCAACCTTTCTGAAAGCACGTGTTATATACATATGTTATGCCAATGTACTTCTCTTCATTTATGTTCACAATCCAGTCTGTTGGAAACTTAAACGTTACTCTGTTCCCCTTTATTTTGACGTCAGGGTTTTCACTACTGAACGCAACAGATAAAGGTATTTGTCTATACATTTAATTCGGATAAAAATAAACCATTTACTCTTTCTTTGCTTCAGCTTCTTCTAGCTTTTGCTTCAGCTTCTTCTCTAGCTTTCTTCGCCAGTAGTCTTGGGTTCTTTTGTCTTCCAGCAGCTAATGCAGCAAGTTGTTTTTCACTAAGTTTTCTCTTTGGTCTCTCTGGCTTTTGTTCTTGTTTTTGTTCCTTCAGTTCGGATAAAATTTGCTCACGAATTTCTTTCTTCAATGCTTCAACATCTATGACCCCTTGGGTCTTGTCCGTAGGGCTTGTCTGAGTCATTTGACTGCAGATAAAAAACAAAATTAAAACTTTAACCGATGTAAAATGAGCTTGTCAAAATCAGAGCGAGAGTCTATTATATTAAATGACGCAAGAGGAATACAACATCCTTTCTATTACGTAAGTCAGAGTAAAGATGGTAAAATATACGTAAGAAAAAGAAAGGTTCCATTAGCGAATGCAGAAAGCGACAACATTAAGGTGCATGGCAAGGGTGAAGTCACGAAGCCCATATAAAACCTTCTATTCAAACTGAAAAGTCAATAGAACAGAAGAAAAGAAGCCAGATGTACTTTCAATAACGAACCAAGAGCTTATTGCAAAGTTCGTGAATTTCATTGAAAAACAAACCGAGTCAAAGAATCCTGACCCGCCAGTGAAAGAAGTTGAGACAAAAGAGAATGTACAGTTCATTGAAAATGTCAAGAAACAACTTCCACCACGAATGCCAAGAAGAAGAGTGAGAATAATGAAGTAAATAGATATTTTTATCTGAAGTAAATACATGCAGAACGAACAGCTAAACGAATTTACTCCAGCAGAGCATATTCATCAGATTCGCTCATATTTCGATATCATAGACAATGCAGTTCAAATTGGTGACACTAATAGAAAATATTCTGACGCAAAGATTCCATCACAACCTGGAACTGCTAAAGATAACACATGGGTAACATTCAATCTCTCACCTCCTGGTGAAAATATGTTGGACCTTTACAATACATTCATTACGTATAAAATGGAAGGTCAATTTATTGTAGATAAAGAAATTGGTTCAGGTTCCAATAAAACAAACCCACCAGGATTTTGGATTGGTTTCGATGACGCTTTCTATGCAGTTGCTGGATATCAAATCCTTGCAAATGGTCGTATCGTATATTCTCAAGACAACGCAAGAGAAGAAGCATATATAACTTCAAACTCACAAACTACCGAACAAATAAAGAAAGTAGATGTTTTCTCAAAGACTCGACATGAAGATGTATGGAGTCATTCGGGAACATGCAGAACAGGACAAATTGTTAGTGGTCCAATTACAGCAGGAAAATCATTTGATTTTAAGCTTCGTTTAAGAATTCCTGTTAGAAGATTCCTTCCATTAGAAGCTATTCGATTTATTCCAGCTTTTGCAGGAAACATTCAGCTTAAAGTAAAGTTCAGTAGCGACGCCTTACAATGCACATCTATATCTGTAAATGATATCATTGCTTTCAATCCAACTCTTAAAGTTGCATTTGCTTCAGATTCAAATCCACCGACAAATAAATTTGTTCCATGGAATGAACCATTCACTATGATAACGAAGGCAGTAGAAGCTAGTGGAACAGTTACTATTACAACTGTAACCCAGCAACTATTTCGAACAAAGATGGATTTTAATGAATGTTTCATTCATCCAAAGTCATTCTCTTTAGACCCTAACATTTATACAGAACTTGTAGAACATTATACAAACGAGGCTTTATGTTTTCCTGTTAAAGTTATGGATTGGATTCCTATGGACGGTTCATTCTCAAAGAATACAGATAGTTCAAGTGCAACATTTACAGCAGCTTATACGCCTATTAATGTTAAAAGTATTTGGGCACTATTTAGAAAGAAAGACAACTATTATGTTAATTTTGAGAACCCTAAGTTTAAATATCTTCAGCTTTCCATGGGAGCTTATGGAAATATGCCTGCAGAACCTGAAAAATCATATGGACCTGTATTTTATGAAATGGTTGCGAACGCTTGCAATACAAACAATGATATGATAGGATTTAATGAAGATGTTATGAGGTCATTGGTGGATGATGGTAGTGTGGAACATAAATGGGATAGCTATGACAACACACATTTCTTATGTGGTTTTCCAACAGAAGTGGACTTTTGCTTCCAGCAAGGTCAAACATCTACTGCTCCAATAACATACAAATTGTCTGTTAAAGGACCTATTGAACTAGCAACTGAAAATGTACCAAAGCCACTTATTGGATTTATGAGGGATTGTTGCTTTGCCATTCAGGTGCGTGCTAATGGAATCCCAATAATAAGATTAGATGACTATAACTTAGCTACGGACGACAGTGAGGAATAAAGGATGAACGTTTATTTTAAAGCTTATAAATGAGTTCTTCATCAAGCTCTCGTGAACCTTCACCATCTATGAAACAAACTTTACCAAACGATTATGGAGCACCTATTGAATATTTCTTACGAGCTGCACAATGGCAAAGAGCAGTCTCACCAAGGTTAGGTGTTCCACCAGCTCCTGTCAAAAATAGCATTTGGTCAAGTCCTTATATAAGATATGGTCTCCCACTAGGTTTGCTAGCTACAGCAGGAGCAGTTATGATGTTGAAAAGAAATAAAGCAAATGTTGTAAATAATACTGAAGTAGCTGAAGTTAAACAAACTCCAACACCTTCACAAGCAAAACCAACGCCTTCACAAACAACACCTTCAATGACTCCTGAACCTATGGAAGTACAAACTCCTGTTCAAAAGTCAACTCCTAAACCGACTCCAACATTTAAACCAGAACCTACTCCTCAAATAAATCGTAAAACTCCTGC